CTACCCTCTTAAGACATCCAATTCCTGGTGTTCGACTCAGTCTACCGATGCATTTGACGTTGCTATTGGCAATGGTCAGTGGGAGCCAACAGCATTCCTTTTTTCAAAATTAAATAAGAGTCAATGGAAATGGTCTACATATGAGCGCGAACTTTTGGCAATATACGAATTTATCGGAAAATTTCGGCACGTGTTAGAAGGTCGCAACTTCGTCATATTTACAGACCGAAAATCACTAACATTCGCTTTCACACAAAAAGCAGAAAAGTGCTCTCCTTGACAACTGACACACCTAGATTATATCTCTCAATTCCCACTGATATACAATATGTTAAAGATAGAGAGAATGTTATTGCTGATGCACTCTGCCGAATCGAAGCAGATTCTGTTTCTCGCTCACTTGTTCTAGATGTCAAACAGTTAGCCTGACAGTTAACTTACAATGAACTACAGCAATTTCTAAATTCTAGATCTTTTCTTTGAAGCTCTCTAAACAGTATTTAGCTCTTGAATATATTTATTTCCACTGTAACTCCACAACCGGTGTTTCTCGTCCTTTCATTCCCTTTTCCATTTAGACTTATCATCTAACAAAATTCATGCGGATCCTACATGCATCTCCAACCTCAATGTGATAACTCAAGAATAATTTGGAAACTGTAGCATCAAATGAAACTGTACCCTAAATGAATTTTCTAAAAATAGTTTTAAGGATATTATGGCTCCACATACTACCCTAGGTAAAGTCAAGGGCTATAAAATGCCCATACTCAGAGATACTGGTGCAATTTTGGAATTTGCCAAAAGTATGTACAGCCTTCCATGTACATGGGTAAAACCGTGTGTATACGAACACCTCTGTAAGAACATCCAGTGTATGCTTACCTTTAGCTGAGGTAGAGCTTGAATGTGATCTGGGTCATATAATAACAAAGGCTGCAGTCTTAAGAGATTCATTAGATCAAAGAAGGCAAATCTAGGTAATAAAACCGCCGCATTATTTAAAAAAGTAAAACGAGATGAAGAAGTTCAATTTCATGCTATAAACGCCATACAAACTCGCGCTCAACAGCAACGTCTAAAAAGAAACGGAAAATCTAGTCTCAACACATGAGTTAAATTCAGAAACTGAACTTAGTGACAAAGACACAGTGACTGAAAATGAAAGTTTGCCGCCTGTGAAATAAGAACGTTCTGAATTAGATCTGATAAATGTCCCTCCAGAAATATTTATACAAGAGCAGAAGGAGAGTGTTGAATTGAAGCCACTTAATGAAGAAGCTAAAATAAAATCTTGTAAAGGTACGAGGTATATGTTGAGAGGGCAAATGCTCTTTTTCAAAAAAGAAGATCGTGATGGAACTCAAAGACTATTTATTGTTTTCCCTTGAGAAATATCAAAAACAGTTGATAACTATTTGTCAAGAAGAAACAACAGCCCATTTTGGTGCAACAAAGACCAGAGATGGGTTTTCCAAAACTTTTTATTAGCCAAATTACTAAAAAGATGTAGAGAATTTTGTTAAAACTTGTGACAAATGTCAAAGAATTGGAAAGCCGCAAGATATAAAGAAAGCGCCTATAAAAATTGTCCATGTTATCACAAAAATATTACAAAAATAAATGTTGACACTTGTCGGCCTTTGGCCGTGAAACCTTCAGAAAATAAGTATCTTATAACTGCAATCTGCATGTCTTCAAAATATCCGGAAGCAATTCCTGTCGCAAATATTTGTTCAACTAGGATTGTTGATGTTTTGTCGAATTGGGATTTCCAAAAGAGATGAAGACTGATCAAGCCACATCTTTTATGAGTGAGCTGGCATCAAGTTTTCCCAGAAAAATCCAGAATTAAAGTTCAGTTTACCACCTGCCAAGCAAATCTGTGGAGAAAATGCATAAAACTTTAAAAAGAATTCTTCGAGTCCTACGTCTAAATTGTGGTATGGACTTGGGATAACATCTTACCTCAGGCTTTATTTGCTCTTCGAAGCACTATTCACGACAGTACAGGTTTCACGCCAGCAGAATTAGTTCATGGCTGGAACTCCGATTATGCTATTGTATGAAAAATTATCTGGTAAAGAAGAGGAAAAAACAGTGTAGTGGACTATGTTTTTGAACTAATGAATTGAGTGAGAGATGTCAAGAACTTGCTGTTCAGCATATGGAAGAAGCCAATGAAAGGCAAAAACCCTGGTATGATCACAAAACCATAGAAAATAAATTTCAAGAAGGAGACAAAGTTCTAGTTGTGGCTCCTACAAAGACAAACAAATTATCAGTTAAGTGGGTAAGTTCTGGAAAAATAATTTAACAGTTACCACAGACAAATTATATAGTTGAGTTTTCCGAGAAAAATAAAATTCAGGTGTACCACATTAATATGCTGAAACCGTATTTTCACCGAGAAAAAAAATAAACTTGCTATGTTTAGAAGACAGGATAAATGACTAAGATAAAATATTAAGTCTAAATTATAGCTCAGATACTGAGATGACCAATGTTTTGCAAGGCATTCAATTGAATTCACTATTATCTGAAGATCAATGAAAAGATTTAATGCAGTTGGTATACAAGTATTCCTGTTTTGCAAGTCATCCAATTGAATTCACTATTATCTGAAGATCAATGAAAAGATTTAATGCAGCTAGTATACAGGATGTCCTGACCTTACTGAACATGATACAGAACTAGAAGCAGATAGACAGATATCTGCATCGGATGTCTACAGACAAACCGAGATTTTGAAAACTGAAGTAGGAAAGATGATAAAACTCAAAGTAATAGAACCAGGTGAATCGGATTTTACCTCTCTCCTCATACTGGTTGATGTTCCTGGAAGAGGCAAGACCATGCATTGATTACCGTCGCTTGAACAAAGCAACCAGGACACAATACTTTACCTTGCCAAACATTGAAAATTTAGTAGAAAAAGTGTAATAGCCAGCTATATAACTGTTTTAGATCTTGCTCGAGGTTAGTGGCAGATACCACTAACTAAAAGAGCCCAGCGTTACACTGCTTTTGTGACAATTTTGGCCCATTTAAACCCTTAAGGTTACCATTCAGGCTAAAAAAACACACACCATATGACTTTAGCCCTTTGATGGCAGGATTATTAAAAAACTGTGAAGAATTTGCTGTACCATATATTGACGATGTTGCAGTATTCTCAGAAACCAGGTATGAACATTTGAAGCACTTCGAAATTATTTTGGAAAAGAGGAAAGTTGCTAAGCTGCGTATTGAGCATTCAAAATGTCAATTTGCTCAAATGATCGTGAAATATCTAGGAAGGTCATTTAGTATGACAAGGGCAAAGAAGAACAGGAAAAGTAAAAATCAAAGCGAAAAAGGCCCTTTGCCTACCCCGACAACACAGGTCTGGTCATTTTTAGGACTTGCAGGAAACTATCGAAGGTACCACTGACAGATTTGTTAAACAGAAAATGTTGCAAATCAAACACAAATTGGACTGATGAATGCCAAAATGCTTTTGAGGACCCCCAAGAAGCGGTTAACAGAAAATCCAGTGTTATGCAGTCTGAACTTTTCTCAGCCATTTATTGTTCAGTGCGACGCTTCAAATATTGGTATTGGTGTTGTATTATCACAGATAAGTCTAAAGGTGAAGAACATCCAATAATATTTCTTAGCTAAAGGTTTTCACATACTGAACAGCAGTACAGTACAATCAAAAGGGAGTGTGCTGCCATAGCAGTACAAAAATTTAAATTCTGCCTAAATAGACCTCAAAAGTTCATCATTCAAACTAATCATAATCCTATAGTGAGGTTGGATAAAAACATTAGGACTAATCTTACACTATTATGCTAGGCTTTGATCTTACAACCTTTTAACTATGAAGCTGCATACAGAAAGGGGAGGCACCATCAAAATTGACAGTTTAAGTCATTGTATAAAGACATCTCTCAATTAAAATATACATTCTAGGAAGTTTAAAACTTTATTGTCTAATTTTTTTAATATCAGAATATTAAATTTTGTACGTTATTTAAAATACTTGCTTGAAAAGTATTTGTACTCATTTGGTCTGGTATCTAATTATATTTGTTATAGGTATGCTTGAATATTTTTGTCTTGTAAATAATTTTAATATAATTAAACTGAAAATTTGTCTTGGAAGTTCCATAGAATTGAAAGAGAATCTTCTCTTCAAAAAGCTCCCTGTGAGGGAAGGAGTTTAAGATTGTAATGTATTTGTGTTGCTATGTTACCAATATAATACCAGTAAGAAATGTATAGAAACCACAAAACATCAATACAAAACTATAAAATATCTGTGCTTGAAGAAGCACACACTTAAAATGTTTTTCAGTTATTCAGTAAGATTGACTAATAAAGTTAGTTGTTCGATCAAAATGGAAAGATTTCTTTAAAAACTTCATTACAGTAGGCGAGTTCATTGACCCAGCAATCCCAGAGCAAGTGATAACTTTTTATGTAAATTGGGATACATTTAATTGCATTTCTGTTTACTCGCTCTCCAATATTAAATTGTGGTTGACTGCAAACACTCTCAAATATTTGATAGATGAATTGTTAAACACTTTTTGAAATTTACCTTTAGTGGAGCTCAGTATTCTCAAACAAATTTATTTAGAAATGAGTCTGCCACAGCTTTTTCAGAAGCCTGTCAAAGAGAACTAGTTCCTTGCATTTCAAAAAGTGGTTTGTTATTGCTAGTAAAAATCTGCTTTTATTTATTCTATTTCTAAGATATGGTCCTAGTAAACCAATTCCAAATATTTCATTGTAGAACCTTGCTTTTATGCTATTTATGTACTCTTCTGGACTATAGCTAATATTACTAATTAATTGACATATGTCATGGAGCATGGAGCAACTCAAATTGCTGCAAACTGTCTAAGTAACACAGTACATACAGTATGAAAATTATTCAATTTTCAGTAGGTTTCCCCTTGATACCTTACTGGTTGCCATTAAAATAAAAAATAATTAAATAAACAAATTTAAGCTCTTAAGATCACAACATATTTATTACTATAGAAATGTTTACAGAGACCAGTGGTTACACATAAGTTGTAATAATATGTCTACAGAGTTTTACAGTTTGCAATTTTCAGTAACAAACTACAATGAAATGCAGTCAAATTTTTAAAACTGATGCTAAGAATTTCCTTCTTTATGTCTACATACAAACAGTAATAACAAGCTTATTTCTCATCCTTCATTTTATCAGATCTAAGGAAGAAAAAGGAAAATCTGATGGCATTCAAATTAAAATAAATACACATTTATTTTAAAAGTTCAGTGAATTCTCCTTTACTGATCCTGCTCAGGTTAAGTTATTTGAATAAGGCAATGCACATGTGCCTATCTGCTTAAGGGGAGGACTTTCTGAGAGGAACTGGCTTGCATTCATGTTACAAATGGAGAAAACCATGAAAACCGTAGTTAGTCAGTTCACTTGGGTTTAACCCCAGGTTGAACTGCCAGCACTCAGGAGACTAAACCTCTTAGCCACTGGTGGGACTCACCATTAACACCCATACTATTTCAGTTTTCTGTTGAAAACTTGTTAACAGAATTCAGAGCTAATAAAAAATTACTCTAGTTGTGCAGGATTATTGATTTACATATCATTACACCCTCAGACACAGTCACACTTTAAACATTTGATCATAATGATTTTAGTACCCCACTAAAATAATGGTACATAGCCCCATTATTTTGGCAACATGTGCCTTTAAACATTAGAATGTCAATCATTTAGTGGGTATTGAGCCAATAACAAAGACCCATCTCATCAACATTATAATATTCTTGGTGATCATAACCCTTTACCATATACAGTAATAGTTCTGACCAACCTATCACATCAATCTGCAGACACAAGAAATGCAAAATTTCATTTAAACAATTAAGGAATATCATAAAACATTTAAAGTTCCATATTGTGTCACAAATGAGCCAATTAGATAGATTATACTACACAAAGATAAGGTTAAAATTTACATCTCAGAAAAGCAAAAATCTTTCTTGCCCGTAAAAATAACCTTTCTGCTGAAGACATTTTCAATTTTCTCGGCACTCGGAAACATTTTGGCTGATAACAAAATTTTAATGTTTCTTGTGGTTGGGAATTACTTGATGATCTGTCAGGTTAAGAAGTAGTCTTCAAGAAAATTATTGTTAGGAATGATGCTTACTGACACTCTCTGAAATACTGGTCATTTTTCAAGGTGGTTATATATACAAAGTGAAACCATGAAAAGGTTCATTGGTAACTTTTCTACCAATAAAATTTGTTTTGTACTTCTCCACTAAGATGGATGCAAAAGAAACTGACAATGGTCAAAATTATAACTTACTATGGAAAGAATACTATATTAAAGACATAATAATTACTTTACCGGTTTGTTTCAAATATGCAGTTATCTTATTAGCATGTATTTCCAGCTTACATATGGTATCTAATTTTCTTTTTAATTCAAGTAACATTGTCATGAAAATTTGTATTTAACCTGCATCCAAAAGTAGTATATTTTGTTATTAAATAAGACTTGTGAAAACAATTACCAAAAGAACATTTTAATGAATAAATTAAAAAACAATGCAATATATATATATATACAGGGTGTATAGGACAGTCCCTTTGACCTAAAAATTCTTGCAAATGGAGAAAGCTACAGCTATGCAAGTGATGTAATGAAATGCAGTCAAATTTTTAAAACTGATGCTAAGAATTTCCTTCTTTATGTCTACATACAAACAGTAATAACAAGCTTCTTTCTCATCCTTCATTTTATCAGATCTAAGGAAGAAAAAGGAAAATCAGATGACATTCAAATTAAAATAAATACACATTTATTTTAAAAGTTCAGTGAATTCTCCTTTACTGATCATGCTCAGGTTAAGTTATTTGAATAAGGCAATGCACATGTGCCTATCTGCTTAAGGGGAAGACTTTCTGAGGGGAACTGGCTTGCATTCATGTTACAAATGGAGAAAACCATGAAAACCGTAGTTAGTCAGTTCACTTGGGTTTAACCCCAGGTTGAACTGCCAGCACTCAGGAGACTAAACCTCTTAGCCACTGGTGGGACTCACCATTTACACCCATACTATTTCAGTTTTCTCTTGAAAACTTGTTAACAGAATTCAGAGCTGATAAAGTGACTACACCCGACCTAATGTGAACGGCAGAAGCGCCCCTAGTGGTGAAATTTTGATATTAGGCAATGTAAATCGAAAATGAAAAGAGAGCAAAATTTTCAATTAGAAAGTTTTAGTGCATCAATTAATTAGTACGAAATCAATTAATTAGTACATTTGATTCACAAAGATAAGATAAACTATCAACCGTATACCCAACAGATATCTGCATCCAATGCATTCCATCGCCGACTAGATGCGATTCTAGTCTGCATATTCACATTTTGGAAATGCAGCAATGCAAAGTTGCAGATTGAAGCGTTGTACTCTGCTGTAATGTCTGTAAAACTTTAATTTTCAAAGCATTTAAAATTTAAGTTTAAAAGGAGTTGGCTCTCACTTCATACAAACAGCATAATCTCAAACCTCATTATAATCTTGATGGCAGATAATGACATTAACTTACTATCACTGCACAAGAGTTTGCTTTTGAGGGCACAACTCTTGAATGGTGAGGTTTGTATTTTCCATGACCTGAGAGCAGTGCTGAAATATGTGTTTCGCAAAACGTAGACATGACCTGTTGGTCCAGAAGCTGTATGAAAGGATCTTTTTAAAGCTGAACAGCTAAAATATGTCTTCTTCAAGGTTTGAAGGGTGTCAAGGAGCATTGTCAAGAAAGAGAAGGGCTTGCATGGATAAGTCACTGACCTTGAGGTATTTCTTAACAGCAGTACCAAAGACCACATTGATCCATTCCACAAAAAATTTCCCAGTGACCCATACCTTTTGGTTTGCCCTCAATATAACCTGTAGCTTCTTTTTTAAAGCTTTATGCATCTTGAAAGCTCTGGGGTTTCCTGAGTGGTATACAACAGCAGCTTGAGCTTGCAATCTTCACTCACATTTGCAAGCAGTGTAAATGTCAACGAATCTTTCATGGGCTTCTGACCTGGCATCTTTCCTACAGCCACTATGTAAGTTTTGCTTGGCATCTGCTTCCAGAAGAGTCCTGTCTTGTCACAGCTGAACATTTGTTGGGGGATGTATCCTTTGGTTTTTAAAAATTCAGCAAAGTTTTTTACAAATTGCTCAACTGCCTTACAATCACAGCTCACTGCCTCATCATGCCTAAGAACAGAATGAATGCGAGTCCTTTCTCAGAAATTCTCAAACTGCGCCTGACTGGCTTTGAACTGCTCCTGCAAAGATTCCTAAGCTGAAGCACCTGGGCTCTGCAGCAGCAAATCTGTGTAAATGATTCATGCCTTCTTGCAAAGTATAATTTCTGTCACAGTATTTCAGGCAAGCTGCTTCTCTGTCAACGACAATAATAGCAAATTCTACCATCATTTTAAGGACAGACTTAGGAAGTTTTGAAATAATTTCAAAAGATATAGCTTGAGATATAGCCTTTATTGAGTTCTTGTGCTTCAGAAAAATCATATATATTATAAAAGTCCTGCAATAGTACTGCATTGCCACGTCTTTTATGCCTTGCTCATGTTTGTCTGTTATCTCATGTTTTAATTTCAATGCATCAAAATTTGGTATATTTCTTTTTTAACTTAATATATACATATTTAATAATTAATGCATTCATATTAAGTAACATATATTATTGCATTTATACCTCCAATACCATTCCTAAAAAAGGTAATTTTTAAAAAACTAATAACAGACACAATGTGGATTAATTAAATGGTTACAAGGTAGTTACTCTGTTGTTACACTAAAAATGAAATATTTTTCAGCTATCTTGGAAATAAAACTAATCAAATGATTGGCTGGTTTACTGATTTCAACTCCTTTTTTTATCAATAATAACCTTTTCAGGCTTGAATTTCTGTACAAGGTTTTCATTATATTAATATAGTATAATCAAAAGTTAAATGCTAGCTTGTACTAACAGAATTTTCAAACGTTCAAAATATGAAATTTGTCATTCTGTTTTAAATTTAAAAAAAAAGGAGCAATTTAATGCAAAATGTAACAAGTCACAAAAGTTTAAAAATTATAAATAAATTTGTGTAATTCCAAAGACATAGAGGGCAAAGGAAATTTCATTTACTTTGAATCATGAGATGTAAAATAAATCAATTGTTCAAATACTAACTATACATGATTCTCATTACCTAAATTCAACAGGAAATGAAGAGACTGTTTTCATCCACTTCCACTATAATTCCACTGTTCATATCGACTGTAATTTCTGGAATAATAGTAAACTGGGAATCTTGACCTTCGTCGAGACTGTGACCTCTTGCAATAACCAGATCTGATCAAAAAAGGGGGAGGGATGGGGAAGAAAGATGCTAAATGTATGGTCTTTTAAGAATACACAAAATTTTCAGCAAATTAAAAACAAATAATGAGGCATGCAGTTTAGAATATGTGTCTAAGTTTTATACACTTTGCGAGGGAGGCTGGCCAACCCTGAACTCCAGATGTGTCTGAAAAAGTACATGTGACTGTATATATTCAAAAATTATTGTACCAGCTAAAATCCCTACATACAGATAACCACAAAACAAATTTATAATATATGAAGGTTTGATTATACAAACGTCCTGAAAAATTCGACAGCAGTATGGAACATCAAAAACTTGCAAAACAAAGCTTAAACCCAAGCATAGTTACACTTATATATTTTGTACTGCTAATTACGTCGACTTTAGAGCTAATTATTTAAACACTGCATACTTCTAAATAAGTAGAATAATTGGTTTTTGTGTATTGCTTGCATATTAATGCAACTAAAAAAATTTACATAAATACAAATACTTTCATCTCTTTATAGAAATCTTTTCCTTAACATTTCATCAATTTTCAATCGATACTTTTAAGTAAAGACATCATATTGTTTACATTTTACTCAGATAAGTCACTATTCATTAGTATACATTCACATAAAAGCAAACCATTACTTTCGATTTCATACTACAGTTAATTGCATAAAACCAAATTGTTTGCATAGCACACAGACTAAAGTGCCCTACGATTTTCAAACTCTTCAATTCAGCATATATATGTATCTGCAATATATATCACTACTTCACTATATTTCATCTGCATTATATATTTAATCCAAAATCAGCATATCAATTCTCACATGAAAGGTGTATACTATTTACACAGAATGAACCTACAATAGACGGCATTTTCCTGAAACAAGATGATATTCAGAAACTTAGAAATATATGGCCACAGTTTTCAAATTAATTCTTTTTCTTTAATTTTATTAAGCCTGTTTCAACAGAAAGAAGGTATTATTGCTTCCATTAACTGCTTAAAAGGTGTAAATAAATAAAGACTTAAAAGTATCCTGCTCACCATTACTAATAAATAAAATATAAGTGAATGAAACTTTTACAAGAATAAATACATGTTAACATTTTACATGTACCAAATTGCTTATTATTCTATGTTCTTATTAGCTTCAAATTACTTGAGAACTTCGAAAAGAGCCTTCTAAATATTCAGACTCGGAACTTTTAATTTATTACATTTTTTTAGTCTTCTAGCTCTTTAGCTAAAATTTCTTCCTAATTTTGGCCACTGGCTTATTTTACAAAAATCTTCCTAACAGGTTGTCCTTTTTAATTCCACACAATTTCTTTGAGGAAATTTATTGAATTCTTTTGATTTTTATTGTATTTTTTATATACTTTTAATGCTTAAGAAATTTTCCTTGTTCATAAACGGAAGATTTATTTATGTAATTTAAATTATACATATATATTTATACCTACAGATATATATACATAGTATATGGTATTTTGAATTTCTATATTTGAGAATGAGGTCTAAGCCTTAAAATATCAAGTACAAAATTCAAGAAATGAATGATAATTACACTGTGTTTTGAAGTGGAAAAAATCAAACTCAAAGCTGAGTTATTAACAGGAGAAAATGCAATGGGATAAATAATGACATGGAGGATTCATAAACTGAACTCATGGTTAGCCACTACTGAAACAAAGGGTGAACTGTCTTCAATAGTTTAACAGTGCATTATAATGACCTAACTTAGCATTTTCTGTTTGTGAATACACCTTTTTTTTTATAAGCACAAATAATGAGATTTAAAAATCTGAAATTATATAACATGTCAGAAAAGATACATAAAACAGATGGTGTTCTGAATCTGTTCCAAACTTCGATCTGACAGGAGATGGAACGTAATATCCAGCAGTGGAAGAACACTATGAGGTTGAATAAATAAAATTCTTCAAGCGTTCTAATCAGACAGCACCTTTTTCAAACAAACAATGGATTTTTATAGACTTTATCAAAGTAGTAAATCCTAACAAATAGGAAAAAAGTATCTTATTATTATACTGCTGAAAATCCTATAAATGCATATTAAAATAAAATACAACTCATCAAGATAAAAAAAAATTAAAGGCAGGCTGTAATTTCCGAAAAGTACTAAAGACAACTATTTAATGTGCAATTATTATAACACACTTTATAATTATTTAAAGAAAATATTATTTAAACATAACTTACTTAGCATATTCTTTCATCTCTGATATATAATTTCACTGAGACATTAAATTTCTCATTTGTTGCATGGTGGACGATTCCACTTTTTGATCAACAAAATCGAAGCTTGGTATGTAGTCTTTTTTCAAGAGAAGCCCACTTTTCTGTTCTACGTTAATCATGTTGACCTGCCTTAAGAGAGCCAGGATATCTACAGACAGGGAATTTTTCACAGACCTCATTTCTCTCACCAGAATATATACTGGCTTTATGATTCATAAGCCTAAATCGAAAGTAAAATCTTATAATTATCATATTATAAAGTTAGGAAACAAGTATCAATGTATTTTGTGAGTTTAATACTTCTTCACTCACCAAAAATAAATTTAATTCCTTAAACAGAATATTTTTCCTATATACTAAACACTATATATTCACATAAATTTTAAACGTCTAGGCCCTAACAACAGTTTGAAACTATGCCTTCCCTTTCTGGACAAATGCTCTTATCAATTAAGCTATGAGGAGCCATTAGCCAACTTCCTCATCTTCTTCTTTAGTTACACTACAGCCTATCACAGGCCAAGGCCATCTCAACAAGCCCCCTCCAACGGATCCAATTAGTCACTACAGTCGGACAATGATTGATTCTTAGAGTCCTAAGATCTGCCTTATCTTGTGCAAAGTCTTCCTCTTTTCCTCATACCCTCTACATTGGCAAAGGTCACCTTTTTAAGTTGATTCAAGCTGTCACATCTAAAAATATGTCCAAACCACCTGATACGATAAGTTTTGATGACTCGTACAATATTAGGTTGTTTGTATCTTCTATATATTTGATGGTTAAACAAGGTTCTCCAACTATTATTTTCTTTTAATTGGGCCATATATTTTTGCAGTATTTTTCTTTCAAAAATTAGAAGTCCTTCTTCATCTGTTTCTGATAATGGCCAACATTCACTACCACACAATATGATAGATCTAATAAGAGTTTTAAAAAGATTTATTTTTGTCTTGAAATTTAATAATTTAGACGCTAAAAAATTCTTTAAACCATGATACCAAGTTTAATCTCTTTAATGTCATTCTAGACAGATCAATCAACTTTCTAGGAAATCCAAATTCCACCATAGCTTCAAAAAGCTTTTCACTGTATATGCTATCATAAGCAGTTTTAAAGTCTATAAAAAAAGATGAAAGGTATCAATATTATGTTCAATAGTTTTTTCCCAAATTTGTCTAACAGAATGAATTTGGTGAATAGTAGATTTTCCAGCTTGAAATCCACACTGGTAGCTACCAATAACTGTGCATACAATAATAACCTATTATATAAAATATGGGAGAAGATTTTAGATTTTAAATGCCACATTTAAGAGGGTGATACCTCGATAGTTGCAACATTTGGTTTGTCTCCTTTTTTAAAAAATGGTACAAATGGAGACCTCTTCCCATTCAATGGGCACCTGCTCCTGAGTCATTAAATATAATCTTATGAATAGCATCAATCAGTTCAGGTAGGTAAATATTAATAAGTTCTGCCTTAATACCATCTGGGTCTGCAGCCATGTTGTTATTCAGATTTTCAATAGCTGGTATAACTTCCTCACTTCATATAAGGATGGTATATCAGTTCCAGAGTTCGATCACTTTCAACAACATTCAGGTCGATAGTTAGATCAGCTTCCTCCCTTGGAAGATCACTTCCACAGAGAACATCTCTAAAGAACTCTCTCCATCTTTTTAGCACTTCAACTCGATCACTTGTAAGCTCGCCATTACTTGTTCTACAAATAATACTCCTGGGAAAGACAAAGCGAAATAGAGCGCTGATTTTCTAGTAAAACTTTCTCGATTCCTATTGTGTTTTTAATTTTTCTATCTCATTTGACTGTTCCTCCATATATGCTTTATTTTTCATATGAAACACTATTTTTTTTTCTTTTCTTCTCATCACTTTATAATTTTCCTCTTCTCTTCTAATATAGTGTTTTTGAATCATAAGTTTATAAGCTTTGTTTTTCTCTTCAGTAATTTTTGCACAATCACAATCATACCATCCATGTCGTTTATTCCTTTTCAGTTCTGGTATAACTTCCCTTTCGGTATCCTTAATTATTTTTTCAATCTGTTTCCAGGAAAACCACCATTCCGTAAATCATTCCATTTCAGTAGCCTTTCTTTTAATTTATTTGTATAATCATTCATTGTCACAGATTTGTATAATGAGTCAACATCCAAGACTCCATCCCTTTGCTCCCTAATCCAAAAGGTCTTACTTATCCTTCCTCTGCCGCCCAGACAATATAGTGGTTAGGGGAGACTCACTGCGATACCGAAGGGCCCGGGTTCGAATTCCGGAGAGGGCATGGATGCAAAATTGTCTGTTCCTTCATAGGAGGTAACGGTGGCCGTCTATTAGGTGCCTCCACAATAAAATGATCACCATTACTACTTCTGGCCTTAGGAATAGCCAATGAGAGGGGAAAAAACTTATCCTTTCTCTCAGCCTGGAAACCACCAGAAAGAGATTGGAGTCAACATTGGCTCCACGATAATTGCGGACATCCAAAAAGCACTTATTGTGTCTTAGATCCACCAGGAAATGATTAATCTGATTTAGTGTTTTTCCATCTGGGAAGCACCATGTGACTTTATGTACATTTCTACGTTCAAAGAAGGCATCTCCTATAATAAATCATTTGCATTTGCAAAATCATTAAGTCTTAGGCCACTTCCACAGAGTACTACTTTCCTCATGTAAACTGTAATTACCCAAAGTTCCCAACTAATCTCATGCTAATCTTTGCATTAAAGTAACCAATAATCAGTTTTATATCATTTGAGGGACATTTGTCATAAAAGTCTTCAAGTTTATCATAAAAAATCATCCGTATTATTTTCACATTTGTCCTCAGTAGGTGCATATATGCTGATAATAGATAGCTGATTCAATTACAGAATTGTTTATAGAACTGTAGTCGATGGCTCTGTCTCGAAATTTCCCAGTTACTACGAATCCTACTCCAACGCAGTGCTGCTTATCTTCACAACTATATAAAACACTGCATCTTTTATACAAAATTCCTTGACCAAGCCATCTCATCTCCTGAATGGCCAAAATCCCCAATTTAAAATTCTCAAACATGTCAACCATATTTTGAAGTGATCCCTCATAGAGTGCATGCACATTCCAAGTGCCAATATGAAGGCTGTTGTGATTCCATGCCATCTGGGCGGTATCCGTCCATGATTTAGACCTTGAGATCTCAGAACCGGAAATTTTTTAACAGGGTGGGGTAGTTAGCCCCATGCCCAACTCCGAGCCTGGATAATCAGTCCCCTGACATAATCCACAGGGGCAGGGACTGACAGAGGATGCAATATATTTAGCAGTGGAAGAAGAGTATAAGTTTGAATAAATAAATTTCTTTAAGCATTCTAATCTGACAGCACCTTTTATAAACATAGAATGGCTTTTTATACACTTTATCAAAGTAGTAAATCCTAACAAAATAGGGAAAAAAGACATCTTAATATTATACAGCTGAAAAATCCAATCAATGCACATTAAATGTCAAAATAAAAAAAAAATTACTCAAATGCAGTTATTTAGGAAAAGTACTAAGTACAACTATTTAATGTGGAACTATTATAACACATCTTATAATTATTTAAAGAAAATATTATTTAAACATAATTTAATTAGAATATTCTTTCATCTCCGATATTTGATTTCGCAGAGACATTAAATTTCTCATTTGTTGCATGGCAGATGATTCCACTTTTTGATTAACAAAACCAAAGCCTGGTATGCAGTCTTTTTTCAACAGAAGCCCACTTTTCTGTTCTACGCTAAAGAGCCTGACTAAAGCCACCTACCTGAAGAGGGCCAGGGTATTTCCAGTCTGGGAATTTTCACCAAATATAAATTTAATTCATTAAGCAGAATACTTATAAACAGAATACTCATAGCTACTAAATAGTATATATTCACATAAATTTTAAAAGTCTGGGCCCTGACAGCAGTCTGACTATATGCCTTCCCTTTCAGGACAAACATTCTTATTAACTGAGCTATCCGGAGCCATTAATCGTCTACACGTGAATTTTTCATAAGCCTAGACCTCGTGTACTTTTAATTTGGTTAATACTACTACCTACTGTTAACAATCAATATAACCTTTAAATGATTATTAAAAACCTCTTAACAATTCATACTTCACTCTTTGAATTCAAAAATCAATCTGACTTATCAGAGTAATTTAATACATTCAGTGGCAAATTACACTCATCAAGCGGTTTGAAAAACTAATTAATCAGATTTATTTGGCATAAGTTTACTCATTTTAGAGAAGAAACAGATCGGTTGCAGCTGACATACAAACATGGAAGCAATACCTGTAATTTGCATTTAGGTTTTTGCTGCAAAATTTAATTTCACAGAGTATGTCCAGCAAACGAAGGATTTTTTTAAGAAAATGCTAAATGCAGTCAAATCAAGAGAAAGCAGATAACATGGATCCAAGGGAAGTAATGATGTAGGATAAAAATAGCGGTATTGATAATAGTGGCAATACTACCATTTGTTTAAAGCCTATAAGATATAGAGCAAATGATGATAACGATTTTAACGTTAAAAACAAAAAAATCAAAGAACAGCTTTGGAACAAAGAAAATGTTCCAAAAACAAAGACATTTATGGAAATAAAATATAAATGCTTTAATAGCTCACAGAATAAGTTTCAACTATAAACCAATATATACCCTCTCCACATAATAATATTATACCTGACTTTTCACAACAGGTTGTTCATAGACAACTGCTAAGGATGCAACTGTTGGACAACTGCTAAGAATGGATCATTGCAATGTAGTAGAACATTAAGCAGGGGTGGGGGTTAATCAAGATAAAATATTGTTTTCACACTATTTGGACATTGGACCAAAGGACATTATTCCTTAGGAAAATGCAGAAGGCTTTGAAACATCCATAAGTAATAACTGTTCTTTTGATGCTACACACAGAGAAATAGAAAAATGTATATAAATGACAGCAAACAACTTGGAGAAAGGTGTCAGTACAGGATATGTCCAACATGGAGGGTGATGCAATTTTCCACATGTTGTGTTGTGCTTTCCACTACATTTTCCAGCAGCTGTTGAGGCCATTGACCTGACTCCTTTGGCAATACATGGATGAGGGTGTTGTTCATGGGAGGATACTTTTGACCAACACATCACCTACCAAGAGCACCTCAAACATTTTCAGTGGGGGTTTAG